TTATTTTCCACCGTGATTTGCAAATAAATTCTTTAAAAATCAGACAATGTGATTTTTTGGATTTTTCCCCCCATTTTGTCTCTCATAGTTGAGGTATACCTATGATGAAAATTACAGGCCTCTCTCATCTTTTTAAGTGGGAGAACTTGCACAATTGGTGGCTGACTAAATACTTTTTTGCCCCACTGTATACTGTGGCTTCATATATTTTAATCAGAACCAAGATTAAATCCCCCTCCCCACAATATGCCATCATTTGTAGCTGGTAAAATTTGGAGGCAGTTGTATCAACTGGGGAGATCAAATGTGGAAAACTGGTTTTGGAAATGTTTTCTGTGATAATGGGACAGAAATTTCCTCCTCCCTTTTGCATCTTTTGAAAAACATGCTCATTAGGGGTTTGCTTTATTTTAATTGTGTGTGTGTATATTGGGAGGGATGGACAATTCTGATTGCCTCAAGAAGTGACCTCAGGCCATTTTCAAATCTGTTTCTTTTACCTCTCAAATTGACCTTTCAGACTTTGTATCTAGGATTATATAGTTTTTGGACTTAAAGTTCATATAATTGAATCGATTTTAATTGCAACTACATAGGAGGCTTCTTGTTGTTATGGTCCATTAGGTCAAGCCTGACTACATGAATAAGTCCCTGAAGTTTTTTTGTTGTTGTTGTTAACGTTTTTGGAAAAGGTTTGCCAGCACTTCTTAGGGCTGAGAGAGAGTGCCTAGTCCAAAGTCACCTAGCTGGCTTTTATGCCTAAGGCAGGACTAGAACTCAAGTCTCCTGGCTTCTAATCCAGCAACTTTAATTACTCCACCAAACATATGAGGCTACCTTATACCAAATCAGAGCGTCAGCCATTTTGCTTGATATCATCAATGCTAAATAATAAGAGATTGACCTTGGTATGTTGAACTCTTGAGCTGGCATTTTGGGCATAAAGCACATGCATTAAACCATTGAGCCAATCCCTGATTTACAAATTACCTCTGCTTATAGCGTTCATGTAAGAAAAAAAAAAATCCTGAATTAGGTGTTGAGGAAAATAAAGCATGGCCATTGTGTTTGTGTCCAAAGAATATTGTTTGGAACTGGGTAGCATATTGGGTTAGGTAGACTTTGACTGGATTCATTTAGGCCATTTTTGTCTCTTTTTTGCAGTCTAAAAAGATCTAGGGGACTTCTGAGTGAAATGTTTGTGAAATGCCTATTGAATTAAACATGTTTTTAATTTCAAATTTATTAGATTTATTGAAGTTTTTTTTTTTTGTAGCTTTTGACCATTTTTGTAAGTGCCAAGTTAGCATCCTATGTCCGTTTTTATCAGAACAACAAGGACTTCATTGACTCTCTTGGTAAGAATTTTGTTATTATCTTCCTTTTATCTGATTGTTACATCTGTGATTATTATTATGAAGTTAACCTATCCCAGCCTAATCAGGAAAGAGTGGTAAAAATGGGATCCTTCCCCTTATTCTATAGTGGGCTATAATAACTGTTGTTTGCAGAGGATCTGGGCAGATTATTGTTTCTGGTGGTTTCACCTCTGTTTTCATCAGTAAGTCCTATGATCCAGCTGCCTTCCTGTAATCATGTATTCATATTTCAACTAACTAGCAAGGCTCAGATGCATCATTGAATAGAGTACTTTTAGCTTCTGAGGAGGTGTGATCTTCCTTCCTTCCTTCCTTCCTTCCTTCCTTCCTTCCTTCCTTCCTTCCTTCCTTCCTTCCTTCCTTCCGAATGTCCAAAATTGTATCAAAATGAAAATCTGGTTTGAAAATTGCTTCCTTGGTGTTCTCCTTGTGTATCAAATGTTAGAATTGGGCTGTCAGTTTTTATATATCTATGCCACATAATACAGTAATGAATCTATACTGAAACTTCCTGAAAAATTAGTTGGGATCATTCGAAGTAAACAGGTATATAAGGAAATGAATCTGCCTTTCTAAATTAAGAGTAGTCTGTAGACAATTTGAAAACTTTGTAAAGGAATTCAAATTATATTTCCTAAATCAGAAGTTCCCAAATTCATGGCCTTCAGATATATTTGGTCTACAACTGCCAATGCCTAAGAATCTTGGCATTGTTCTTCTGAAGAGATCAGGTTTAGGACAACTACACATTATTACTCACAGGGAGTGGAATTAGTTCCCCTCTCCCAAATGTTCAGTGTCTGAATTACTAATAATTCGTTTTTTTAAACATAGTCTTGAAGTTTAGTGCTGGTTACAGGCTTGTACCCTATACTTTGTGTGCAAACATTGTTTAAGAAACCGTTAAAATCCTAAAAAACAGTAAGATTAAATACTTGTCAGTGTTCTTGTGCAAGCTTAAGCTTTTCCAAATGTATTAAAACCTATCAAACCACATTCTATCACAGTTAATATGTTTCATAGGATGAAGCTTTGTGATGGAATGTTAATGTCAGCACCCTCTTTATTTATACACCATGGAAAGAAAAGGAGTAGTAATTAACACTTTGACACTCCCCCATTGGTGTGTAATTGACTGTTTCAAAGGAGCACTGGTTCATAAGTAATTGCATGCATGAAAATTACTTTCTCTGTATTGCAGCATTTTAGGACAAGGGTCAGCGACAAAGCAAAAATTGTTCAGTGATGCAGGCTTTTATATTACTGCATTACGATTTAGGCATACTAGTACTGAATAAATATTTTCATAAAATTAGGTTTTATTATTTTTGTGGGTTTTAGTCTCTAGAATATGACTTGTTTCCATTGGAGGAAAAGAATGATTTCTTAAACAAATACAAAATGGAATGCTGCTGCTCTTGTATCAGTTAATCAATTTAATAGTATTTTTAAAATAATTTTATTTTGTGTCCACTTGAAGACATTGGGTTAGATCCAGATTTGCCCTTAGCAGAATTTTGTTGGCTTTGGAGGAGACAGGGTAGAATTAGTGACTTTTGCAGATTTGTCCTTTGTGGTCCACTTTTCTCCAGAAATGCTCTAGAAGTTTGAGGACTCTTCAGGAAGTGTTAAAAATGCTGACGAGGGCTGCAGGTAGAAAAGGACTTGGCAAAATGCAATTTCATTTCCTGCATTAAGAAGCCTCTGCTAGATCAGTTTTTTGACAACAGACAAAACAATTCAATTTAGTATTTTAAACTTTTAAAATGGAAAACGTGATTTGTGCAAGCAACAAGCTGAGATATTTTTAAATGCTCTGTAAAGAACCTACCGTGTTACCATATAATAAACTATGCTCAAATGAGTATATTCATTTTTCCCAAACATGCTTAGCAGATTTATTTATACACTAAACTGAACCAGTTGCCTTTATATATAAGTAATAAATATGCTGCATGTGTGCTTTTGAAATATTAAGATACGGGGAATTGTACAGAATGCATCCAGTACTACTTTTACTGTCAATCCGTTTAGCCAAACTAGGATTATTAATTTATCTAGTATGTAAAGAATTCCATAAAGGATTAAGATATTTTTAATACTTCTCAGCTTAAAAATTAGTTTTCCTCCTCTTTTACCTGCTCATCTCCCTTGTTTCAAAATTATTAGCAAGCCACATGAAGCTATAAAATCTATTCAGGAAAGGCTCCCACAGGTGGCATCTGTTTGTTACAATGTGTTGCCTTATTAATGCTGACAGGTTAGGCCAACAGTTGTATTATCTTGTGTCAACTGTGAATCACCCTAACATGTTCACATTTGAATCTCATCGTACAGACAAGAGGCAACCTTTTTACTTTAAAGGGGTAATTAATGCTTCATTTGCATTTGTTAATTAGAGTTTATGCACACTAATTGATTTTTGGTGCTTGTAGATTTCTATTAAGCCCAGTTAGCTGTAGTTTCTGGAGCACCCTCTTTGGTTGAGTTATGATGATCACATTTTTGTTGAATCTGTGCCAGATAAATAGCCTGCATCATAATTATTGCTAATTAACACAGTATTATGTCTGGTAGTAATGTGTTTTCCTGCTCTAATATTAGTATAACAATGTTATTAATTCAAACATAAATATTTGTTGTACACTTGGATTTGCTTTGGCAATGTCTAAAATACAAGTGTATGTATTGTTACAATAGTTTTATTCAGTTGCAGACTGAATAAAAAATTGACATATAAAAGATTGAAGCCAACTGTATCTTTCCAGTAGTGGAATAGCTTTTCTGTGCAGTTCCTTGGATACAAGGCAGATTGGTTCCAGGGACTAGAAGACATTTAGGGGGGCAAGAAAAGAAGATCTACTGCAGAAGCAGGTCTGCTTCTGTGATGCTGGATGGGGCCACAGAAATGTATTTATACTTGATGTTTTATGTATTCTTACTGTAAAATCAAATGTTTATCTGACTTCCCTCAATGCTTACTAATATATAGAGGATTCAGCAAGAAGCTTTTCTCTCTCATGTAAAACTAGCATAAGAAAACACTAAAATTAATGCTTCTCTTTATCTTTCTATACCTCATACCACGTTCTAATTCTGTAGATTTCATACTTTTCTTTCTTCTCTGCATACCCATTCTCAAGCATTTTTCTAGCTTCTTCACCTTATATATTGCACTAGCACATGTTATCACCATTTTTTAAAATATCTCCAACTCTGATCTGCTTTTCCTTTTCTACCCTAATGCATTCTCTTTGACATATTTTATAGTTACCAGTTTTTCATTTCCCCAAATCAAAAGTACCTGCAGTCCTGTTTTTGTTTTGCTTTTTCCTTATTTTCCCTATTCAGACCTTTTCTCACTCCATTTTCATTTCTTTGGTAAGATTTCTATCCTTTGGTAATTCGACTGGATCTATAAACATCAATGAGTAATGTTTTCATGGCATGAAAATAACCCTGGTAAGGGATATTTATCCAGCAGCATTCAAGGCAACATTGATCAAGAGAAAAATAGGCAATCTTAACTTTCCTCTTTCCATGAGCATTTCTCTTTTTGTCTGCCCTATATTTTGAGGAACTTTACTGAGTCTGGCAGTGCTTTGGCAGGGTTGTGTAATTGTTCAAATTGGCAATAGAGGTATCCACTATGTTAGAATTCTAAGAGCATTAAAACAGTGTTAAGATAGCATTCACCTTTTATATGCACTGGCGTGTCAGTACTATGGAGTTTCATGAATCTGTGTGCAGTTCATGAAAATAATCTGAGTTATAAAAACTTGATTTTACCCTAAATCATGTTATAAGAAAATGATTTGTCAGTGTCTACAAGCAAGTAATTACATCTCAACATTCCCTAACATAGGTTTGTTGCATGAACAGAACATGGCAAAAATGAGATTGCTTACATTTATGGGAATGGCAGTAGAAAATAAGGAGATCTCATTTGACACTATGCAGCAGGAACTTCAGATAGGAGCTGATGATGTGGAAGCATTTGTTATTGATGGTAAGATAATTTGTTAAGCAAAATTGATAGTTTAATTCACTTGTATTGAAAATATATTTACCAGTTATGTGAGCTTACAGTCCTAAAGCTGAACTTTAAATGAAATACACAATTACTTTAATAGCTATGCACAATTTTGCAGTGAATATACAATTAATTTTTGTTGTTAAAATATGATGTATTTTCCTGGCAGAACGTATAGAAATAAAAATTGCATATTATATTTACTTTAAATAAAATGATGCATAAAATACTTCTTTTTAATAATTCTCATTTCCTGGGCGAGGAAGAACATACATTGAAAGAGTATATTGACTTCCAGAGAATTACAAGGATATTTTTATAATTTTAAAAGAAATTCCTTATGACTCATTCTATTTTGTTTTATAGCTGTGAAAACAAAGATGGTGCATTGCAAAATTGATCAAACCCAGAGAAAAGTAATGGTCAGGTGAGCGCTCAGTCTTTTTCTGAACCAACTTAATGCAGTCCTGATTATAACACTTATACATCTGTTTAATATTTTAACTAGAAGTAAGATAATTCTTATCAGTTTCCTGTAGTTAAATAGTTGCTATTTATCATAATTTTATTAACACTCAGACTGAATGTGATTAGCTTATTTAATGAAAGAGTCCTATTTTCCAGCACATTTCATTTAATGGCCAAACAGTGGCAAGAATACTAATGAGTACTGTATGATGGTTTTTAACTGAAGCCTGCAGAACCCTAGACTAGCTCATCCTTACAAAGCAATGTAAAAGGGTTTGTTTCTGTGTAGATTCTATCTTGTATTTTCTAAATAGATATGTGTGGAAAGTATAGCATTTTTGTTACTTTATTCTTTTTTACATTTCTTTAGTCACAGCACACATCGGACCTTTGGAAAACAGCAGTGGCAGCAGTTATATGATACGCTGAACTTCTGGAAACAAAATTTGAATCAAGTGAAAAACAGTCTTCTTAGTTTGTCAGATACTTGATTCTTTACTGTTAAGTTTATCTCAGCTAAAATTTGACAATAATAAACCATTCAACTTAATTCTGTGGATTTCTTTATTGATGTCCAAAGCAACAACTGGATTTTAAGGCATTAAATTGACTTACACACGTGTAAATGTAACGGCAGAAGAAGTAATGAATTCAGCTTTTATAATCTCAGTAATACATATTCTGATATAAAATGTAAAAGGAAAAAGTAGCAGGTTGACTTTATTAATAACTCTACAATTTTTCTAAAATAATGATGTTCTATGGTATCTAATTATATTGGTTCTTTCTAAATTTGGAAAGCTCCAGAGAGACTGTATTAGGATTCTGAACTATGAAAATATAGATTAGCTTGAGAACTGATTTACATATATTCCCTCACATTGATTAGCAGTAGGAGAGAAAAGAAAAAGAGGAAAAGAAACACACACACACACATAACCCCAACAGTCAATCCCCACTTGGAGAAGTGAAGAAATTAAGGATTTTTGAGATTATCAGAGCAGTGGAGGTGAATATGTGTAGCTCAGGGTTGAACTGTGGAGTCCTTGGGGTTCTCTGAGCTTGGTT